CGGCGCTCGGCGACCGTATCTCGGTGCGCATGCTGGAGTATCTCACCATGGTGACCAAGCAGCCCCACGGTCTCGACACGCTCGCACACGATTTTCTCGACACGTGCGAAATCTTGTTCTCTATTGAAGCTGGTCTCGGCGAATGCATCCGTAATCAGCAGACATTCCCCGGCGATGTGATTTCAGAGCTGAGCAAGAAGTTCCGCGTGACGCAGGCGGATTTCCAGCTGCTGGATCAGATGCTGGGTAAGTTTCTTGAGAATGAAAGAAAGGGTGCCATGGGCCGTATGCGTCGTGGATGGGGTCGTATCTTTGGTGATAATGATATCGAGAAGATGATCAGTGCCCTTGGACGTACGCGTGAGAGTCTGCGCATGAGTGCGCTTATGTTTCAGTGGAGTTTGGGTAATGAGAAGATTGAGAATGAGCTTGGTATTGGCTACACCGGCCTCGCTGCTGCTCTCGATCGCATGGATACCCGTGCTGGTATGGCGCCTAGATCAAAACTCTCTGATCATGGTGGTTCGCAGTACAGACCTTCTTCTGCGTCGCAACATCGTGGTGTTGAGGGACACAGCGCCATGTCGATGGCTTCTCAGCCACCATTGCCTCCTCTTCCCTGGACGGAACGATCGTCTTCTATGCAAAACGATCCCCTCACTGCGTCACTCCACCACGATGCTCGTTCATTTACTGGTCATCATCACAACACTGCTAGTTCAATCGCTTCCAATGAGCGTTATCACTCTGGTACCACCGCTACCTTCGACCGCATGAGTACCTTTGACGAACACCACGAGACTCGATCGCATCACACCACCGTGTCAGATAGTGAAGCCTCTCTTGAGGAGCTTTCGGGTCTTGATCTCAACGGTGGCACAAAAGTCGTGCGACTCAAGGCTGATCCCTTCAGCATGCCCCGCTGGAACCCGAGAAACACCGTCGGCGCCGACGCAGCTAATCTCAAATCCGCTCTTCTCACTGCTGTGCGTGGTAGGAACCACAAACTAATCGAGCAGCTCTTGGATCGTGGTGTTTCTCCCAACACTGGTCCTGAACATCTTGCGCTGAAGGAAGCTGTTCTCAACAGCGACGCCGAGGCCGTTCGTCTTCTTCTCCTCTTCGGCGCTGATCCCAACGGCACTGATCGCGATGGTGTGACACCGCTCTTCGCCTCCGTGGAGAAGTCTTTTCTCGCCGGTGCCGTTCCTCTTCTCAAGTACGGCGCTGATCCTCGCTTTGCTATGGGTGAGGATAACGAGACTGCCCTTGCTGCTGCTTGTATCGCCAACAAGGTCAACTTTGCCCACCTGCTTCTTATCTACGGCGGTGATCCTAATCAATTGACCGCTACGGGCGAGACGCTCCTCAGCAGTGCTATCAACAAGAAGACGCCCAAGAAGTTCATCGATCTCATCCTCGACTACGGCGCTGATCCCGATTTGAAAAGTCGCGAGGGAAAGACTGCCTTGTTCGAAGCCATCCAGAACTCGCGCGTCGACATCGTCAACAGTCTTCTCGACCATGGCGCAAACCCCAACTTGCCTGGTCCCAAGCACATGCTCTGGCCCGCTACCTACCAGAGCGCTTGTCTGCAGGTTCTCCTGTCTCACGGCGCTGATCCCAAGAAGGCACCTGGTATCATGGAGCTTGCCGTTAGTGTCAACAACATCGAGTCAGTCAAGGTCCTCCTCAACGCAAAGGTCGACCCCAACCAGAAGAAAGATGGTGTCTACACACCCCTCTGCACATCCATTCGCGACAACCGCCCTGATATCTTCCACCTCCTCCTCGCCAACAAGGCAGACCCCAACGTGCCTGCTAGCGAGTATCCTGCTTTCAAGTGTATCACGCACAACCGACTTCAATTCCTTCCTCCTCTTGTCGACGCTGGTGTGAACCTCAGCTCTCCCAAGGGCATTGTCGAGACTGCCGTCAGTGTTAACAACATGGAGGCGCTCACATGGCTGATTGAGAAGGGAATGAACCCTAACGATAAGAACCCCAAGGGTCACTCACCGTTGACGACTGCTATTCGGGAGAATAGGATTGAGATGGTGGACTTCTTGCTCAACCACGGCGCTGATCCCAACGTTCGCGGTCAAGATTGGCCCGTGTGCATGGCCGTCCGCAACCCCCCCGTTCTCAAGCGCATCCTCTCCGTGCTCGCTGAGCCCCGCGCTTTCAAGGGCGTTATGGAAATGGCTGTCGTCGCCAACCAGCTCGAGTCCGTCAAACTCCTCCTCGCAGCCGGCGTGTCAGTCGAGGACAAGAACGGCGGTGTTTTCTCCCCTCTCACATCCGCCATTCGCGAGGACCGCAAGGATATCGTGTGGTTCCTCATCAACGAGGGCGGAGCCGACATCAACGCCCCCGGCGAGCATCTCCCCGTCGTCAAAGCCCTGCGCCGATACCGTGGGGATCCTGAGATGCTTGAGTTTCTGCTCGAGCATGGCGCTGATCCTAACAAGGTGTACCGCGGATGGAACGGTGTTATGCAGGCTGTTGAGAACGGCGATGAGCAAATCCTTCGTCTTCTGGGTGAGAAGGCTGGTTTTGATCTTGATGTTAAGGATGAGCTTGATCGAAGTGTTACTGAGATTGCTGCTTCGCGAGGTTGGGATGAGGCAGTTCAGATTCTGGAGGAGTATGCCATGACAAAATCTGCTTAATTTACTGGTCAGTGTAAGATGATGAATGCTTGGGATTCGGATGGGGTTGGAGTCTGCGAGATTGCTTTATGGGAATTGGACTGGATTGGATTGGATGGTTGCTTGGTCTTGTGTCCTTTTTATATATATCCTCTTGTTTACCTTGAGCACTTTTCTTTTTCTTTTTTGTTCATATCCCACTGGTATAGTACTACCATGTATCTGCTTATATTTTCTTTGTCAATCTATTTGTCGACGATAATACAGATGAGTTTTGAAGCATCATGACCCAATTGTGAATGTCTCAGTCAATTGAGCACCTTGCGCGATACGTTAAAGCGACACACAATCTCAAATGTTCTATTTATTTAATGTAATTGTGTATCTACAGCCTGTTCCCCATGTTGACATGAACAGATTTGATCTGCGTATACGCCTCCAATCCCGCCTCACCAAGCTCCCTCCCAATACCACTCTGCTTAACACCACCAAACGGCACACGAGGATCACAATCTTGGGAGCTGTTAATCCAGACCATTCCCGCCTCTATGGCAGCAGCAACGCGATGAGCTTTCTCCAAATTTGTCGTAAAAGCAGCAGCGCCAAGTCCATATGTTGTATCATTAGCCAACTCAATTGCTTCCTCCTCCGTCTTGAACGTCGAGATGACAACGACTGGCCCAAAGATTTCTTCGCGGAATACTCGCATCGAGGGCTTGACGTCTGTGAAAACAGTGGGAGAGATGTAGAATCCCTTATCTGAGCCTCCGACTTTCAGAGGATGACCGCCCGCTGCGACTGTGGCTCCTTCTTTTTTGCCAATGTCGATGTACTCTAGGATTCTCTCGTATTGAACCTTTGATACCTGCGGTCCTTGATACGTTTCCTTATCCCACTGGTTACCAACTTTGCTAACCGTATTAAGCGTATCAATAAACTCCTTGATGAATTTCTCGTAAATGGTCTCTTGCACTAAAATTCGTGACGTCGCGGTGCAGATCTGTCCTTGGTTCGACATGATGCCGAAATGCGACCACTTGACAGCCTGATCAAGCTCCGCATCATCAAACACAATCAACGGAGATTTCCCGCCCGTCTCGAGCGTTATGTTTTTGAGTGTCTTTGCTGCGACGCCCATGATGCTAGCTGCCGTGGCTGTTGACCCCGTGAACGCGATCTTGTCAACTAACGGATGCTGCACCAACGCAGCGCCCGTGTCTTTGCCCAGGCCATTGACGATGTTGACTACACCAGGTGGGAAACCAGCTTCTTTGATGAGTTCGCCAAGGACAAGAAGACTTAGAGGCGTTTGTTCAGCTGCTTTGATGACAACTGTATTTCCACAAGCAAGCGCAGGTCCAAGTTTCCACGTCGCCATGGACAGAGGATAATTCCACGGAATGATCTGCGCAACAACACCAATTGGCTGACGAATCGTGTACGCAAACTTCTTCGGCGTCGTGTTAATAGTCTGACCGAACGTCTTATCAGCCCAACCAGAGTAATAGCGGATAACGCCCACAGCCTCAACGAGATCATTCTCCAGCGTCTCAATGTACGTCTTGCCGTTATCCCAAGCGTCAATGGTAGCGAAGAGCTCGCGCTTGGATTCAATTAGATCGGCTAGACGGGCCATGAGTTGGCCTCTGTCTGAGGCGGGGAGGTCCTTCCATGAGTCATGGCGCAGTGCGGCTTTGGCTGCTTTGACGGCTTTGTCGATGTCTTGAGAATCTGCGGATTGAACTGTTGCGATTTCTTGTTCGGTGCTGGCGGTGTTAGTGGAGGTACAGTGGGAGGTACAGAGGGGGAGGAGGGGGACTTACGCGGGGTCGATTGATGTGAGGGTTTTGTTGCTTGATGAGGGGACGAATTCGTTGTTGATGAAGAGGCCGGTTGGTTGAGACCATTTCACTCCGTTGGGAGCAGTCAGTTCAATTGAGGCAGCCATTTTGGTGATATGATGAGATGAACTGGTTGATATTGGTGAGCCTTGATGTCTTGAACAAGCTTGGGAGGGGTCTCTTGTACTTGAACGTTGACGTATCTAGTATGATAATTGACTGACTCTTTCAATTCAACCTGATATAGCCTGATGAGAATGGCGATTGTTTCCGTCGTCTTGATCGCGCAGACCTTCTCTTTTTAAACCCCCGTGCAATCATCTCCACTACCGAGATAGGGAAGTGAAGCCTACAACGACAGCACTACACTACCCCGCATCTCCATCGACCTGCTCACACTGGGCAAAGAATTACATCCAACAGCGACAGCAACAATCACAGCGAACCTATGACTCAAGATAACAGAGAACGTTCTTATTGTCTATCAATTATCTCATTACAGACTAGTTCACTTTCGACTCTCTGCCTCTTCAGCCACAGCCCGAGGAATCTCCTCATCAAGCCCTGTCTCACTTGGCTTCCAGCCTAGAACTTCAGTGGCGCGACGGGGCTTGCTTCGGGCATTGCTGCCGAAGAATACTGAACCCGCGGGGAGTGCAGTGTCGACTTCTGGTTTGTAGAGTTCTTCTACTTGAAGGGTATCAATGAGTCCTTGGTCTTTTGCTGCTTTGGCGACTCTGTCTGAAATATCGGCCCATGTCTAAATTATCAGCTTTGTGAGACTCGTGTGAATGTGAGGTGGAGTGAGGTGACTTACCATCTCGCCAACACCAGGAAGATAAATCCCCTTCTCGCCCCAGACATTCTCATCCTCACTTCCCTTTGCACCATTCTCCGCCAAAAGAGTAAATAATCTCGCGAGATCTGCGACGTGAACATTCGTCCAGGCAGCTAAACCTCGACCCGCTCTGACTGCATGGCCCCTCTCAATCGCGACTTTTGAGAGTGCGGGGATCTGCACGCTGCGCTGCTTCACAGGACCTTGACCTTTTCCATAAATAATTGGAGGAAGAACAAGTGCAGTTTTGATAGACGGTGTTTCTTTTGCGATTTTGAGAATGTAGTTGTCTACCACGCGAGAGTCGTGGCTGCGGATGAGGTCCAGAATGGAAGAGACACCATCGAGATCGTCCCAGACTTCGTTGGAGGGTTCACCTGGTTTGAAGGAGGGCCATGATAAGTCCTTAACAGGCAATAAACTCGCACCAGAAATTTGAATCAAGTAACCTGTTCATCGTCAATTCAATACCTCTCAATCAGTTCAACATGTCTCACCATTTCCTTTCTTCTGCAACCCCCGATGAATCGCCTGCAACGACCCAATATGCTTATTCGACGCAACATCTGTCTCCATCAGCACACAATCACTTTCACGAAAGCACAAACGTACTCAGTACCACAGAAGCTTGTGAAGCCTCCTGTTCCACGAGCGCACTGTCATCTAGGTCACCCACCACAGTGCGCACTTTGGGATATGCCTTTGCGATGGTCTCAGCTGCGTTGGCGTCGCGCACGAGCGTGACGACGGTGTACTCGGGATGAGCTTGTGTGAGCTCACGGAGGAGCTGACCTCCTACGTAGCCCGATGCGCCGGTGCTGCAGAGATTTAGTAAGCGGAGGGAGAAGGGGTTTGGGGTATTACAGAAAGATTGAGGCCATTATGTGGTGTTTTCAGTGGTGATGTGAGTGTTGGGGCTGACTGGAGCTACGAGAATGGGGTTTTATGGCTGCATGCTGTGTCACGAATATTATTAAGCTGTGTACCGCTGGAATTACGACACTGCGGCGATAATGGCGCATGAATCACTTGTTTTTATTTGCCTGCAGATGCATTTATCAGCCACTTGAATAATGATGTTTATTACAGGAGGTCAAATACAGTAGTCGCGGAGACTTGCCCTTTTTAGTGGCCTACAGAGGATCCATCCATAGCCAACTGCGCTTCCAGATGAGGAATGCGAATGGTCCAAGTGGGGACAGCTCGTCGCTGGCTGTCTCACCAACTACCCGCCGAACGAGGAGCAAAAAGAATGGAACCAGAAACTCGAAAAGGCCTTCTAGCTTTGTAATGAAAATGCTGATACGTGTATTCGAACGCACGACCTGCAAAAACGAAGAGTGGAGCAGGGAAGAGAGTTTTGGGATTTTAGGTTCGGATTTATAGAAGGTTTATAGGTTCATAGGTAGATACCACTGCACCACTCTTCGTCGATGGTATATAGAGTTATTTTGGAAAATGAGGGTTGGTTGCATAGTGAGGGGACTGGCATATAAAGGTTGATCCTATAGAGGGTCTATCAAAGGCGCTGCAGGTCACTCCATGTATGCTCATCTTAACTTTTGGTCACGCAGTCAGCACAAACCTGAGATTTAGAAAAATTCCATGATGGTATTTTTTACCAAGTGAAACTCTTAATTTGTAAATCATTATTTGCTCAGATAAAATTTCTAGCTTTGGTGATATTTCTGGGCTGATGAGGACATCGGTATCGTCCCTCCTTTCTCGCAGATCCATAGTCCTTTATTGAGCAAGTGAAGCTTGGTTTATGACCTTCAGTTCCTATGAAGAGTCAGACCAAGCGAAGGACTCCTATGCCTAGGCGTATTCTTCACGGGCCCAACGACGGGCTTAAGTGTACACTTAAACTGTTTCACTGACGATAAACGAACTATAGTATGAAGTAAATATTATCCCCATGTGGGATATAAGCTGTAGTTGTGTTGAGATGGTAAATAATTCCACGGAACTTATAACTCGGACGCTGTTCGAGCTGGGCTTTGACGATACCTACATCTGACGCGCCTACGAGGGAGTATCGGGAGGAATTTCTCAAGGGCAGCCTTCTCACCTTGAACCAGGCCCTGTAGTGCACGCTTCAACCTGAATATCTACAATAAGCTGGAGAGAGGCATGCTCTTTAGGAGATCGAGCAAGGCCAACCAACCGACAATCATGAACATTATGCCGAATGGCCCAGTCGCATAATAAAAATAGAAACTTAGATGAGTTATCATTACAACTATCATACGACAATGGCCACCCGGTCAGGGATATTTATGTAAGCCTAGCCTCTGTTCAGAAGGTCCATTAACCAAGTTATTCCCGGACCAATTGCCTTGATCTACACGGGAGATCAGATAAGGTTCACGCAAACCTACCGCAGCTGGGGCCGAGCACGAGTAGCATAACATGTTTCAATACATACACTGCGGGGAGTTTTATGGCCTCATGCGGACTGGCTTTCCTGGTTTTCGGCTGTTGAGTTGCAATATCGACGGATGAGCTACCCACTACCTAATTAAGGGGCTCTTGCTATGTTTCAAGGAGAGATATTTTGGTTGCTTTGGCACAGGAAAGTCTACGCATGCTCAGGAGCATAACGGGCTGACAATGTTTGATAAACACTATATGGCCTTCTTCGCATTCGCTAGTTCCGCAGACCGTACCATTAGAACCCTCCTTGGCCTCTTTGGAGGTTTCGCCGACGCTTTGGTTCCACTTGCTGGTGCTGTCTCGGGAGGTGTTGGAGTTATCACCTAGGTACTGGCTAACATACTAGGAGGTTCGGCCTGAGACATCAGCCTGCGTTTGATTGATGATAGCAAGTATAGTGAACGGTCTAATAAGCATGCAATATGCTTATTGTAGGGAGATTGAGTACATATTTACCTTTTCTGATCTGACCCCTTTCAAAACTTTAGGAGTTTGAGAGGAGCAGATCTTTCAGTATTTAATTCAATTGTATTTTGAACAACCTTTAAGCCTTACTCTTCTTTAAGAGCCCCTTCATTCGACTTCCTTTTCTCCTGGATCGTCCACCTCTCATGTTCGAACTTTGTCATCTTTGGCCTACTTTTTGTCTTCTGTTATAGCCTCTTTCAGAGATCCGGTTTATCTCTTCTTCCACCACCAGAGGGTTTGACACCCCCTCGTTCCAGGAGTGTGACATTGAATCCCATGGGAACTAGGCTAGTGCCATGCGATTCTCGTAGTCCAGAGTTGCTTTACTGCTACTTGGTTATATGTAAAATTTGTGTAAACCTTATCAATATCTCAGCATGATAGATCGAGACAATGTATGAGAAATCATAGGCTATTTTCGATATGTATGAATCGTTCTTTGACATGAGATTCAAGATATTGTCGTATGAAAAGGTCCAATTCTCATATCGTATCGGGCTTCAATCAGGAGATATTATTGGCTAACAATCCAGGAGACCAAAAACCATTCTTGGGCTATTTTACCCAACAACGGCATAAATGCGAGACGTTATTGAAATCTACAGTGACATTGCAAACGCCTCTATTGGCTAACGAAGTCCCTTCACTAGCTCAAGCTAGCCTCTAAATGCAGAAGCCATCCTTCGCCACGATAAGCAGTAAAGTTAACGTAACCCCACCTCGCGGAAACATTCCCTTTTCACTTCCTCCTCGACAACACAATAACGCAACTTCCCCCGGGGTCAATATCCTTCATCAGAAGAAGCAATTGGCCCAAGACCCAAACCATCTTATTCTATATCATCTCATTCAATCGTGTTTCTCCACTTTCCTATCTAAAATGCCCAAAAAAGTCGAACGAACACGGACCTTCACAGGCTGTCGAACATGTCGTTCGCGCCACGCAAAATGCGACGAGGCTCAGCCTGAATGTGGAACTTGTCAGCGATTGGGGCTGGTTTGTGGAGGGTATGGAGCACGGTTGTTTTGGATTAGGGATGATGCTGTCAGGCCTGAGTTGCAGCAGAGTCATCGGGGCTCGGAGTATCGGTATCCACTTTTCTCCGGTAAGTGCTCCGGTCCGTCTTGGGGGTTGATGACTGATGAATGTAGAGAGTGAAAGGAGGTTGATGAGTGATGAGTTAAAGGGGAGTTTGGGGAAAAGAACGGCGCTGGCGTTGTTGGCGGATATAGATTCTGCGTGTGAGAAGAGCGATGTTGGAGATGCGTTGATGAAAGGTCCTTTTGGGGTCTTTCAGTCTGTTGAAGAGAAAGAGTTGACGGTGGATACGATTGAGTGTTCTCCGGATACTAACACTGATAATACGTCTACGAGCATGTATGCCGAGACTGATGGCTTCATTGAGGAGATTCAGCGAGCAGATTGGCCGGATCAACTTCCCGAGGATGACCTGGACATCTTTACGGCCTCTTTGGATCCTAACTTTAACATGAATGCTGAGGAATTGACAGCGGGTGATCAGATACACTTGCATGACCCTATGGCCAACTTCTTTGTCGATGATCCAATGGGGGCTGAAGGACTGGCACTCTTCAGTCCGGGCTTCATATCGCAAGTTATGGGTACCGATAATGCTACGCTTACAGAGGAAAATATTGGCCCGGAACTACAAGCGTCAATGAACGAATTAGTTCCATATCCAAGAACCATCGCAAGCCATTCTGGACTCCCCGAAGAAGCAGAGCCACTACTCAGGCACTACAGACAACACATCGCTGGCCAACGGTCAACCATGCAAGCGAAAAGGAAATCTCCTTGGGAGATCATCTTTCTCCCTTGCGCCCTCGAGACATTCGCCGAATTATCACTATGGAATGAAGCTTCCCACACCCGCTCTTCTATCTTTTATACCCTGCTTGCTCATAGTGCACTGCAACTTCACATGTCGAAGGCACCAAGTTCTCTATCGGCAGATTGGAAAGAAATTGGATTGAAGAACCATGAACGAGCACAGAATCATCTTCGACAGGCGCTGCAGCATGAGATGTTTGGGCCGAGGCAGGCGAGTTATAAGGAGCTCTTGATGGCTATTCTAGCTATGGCGATGACTTCGGTAAGTCCCCGGTCCCCAATCTTATGATCAAGTACCAACAAACGTTAGTTACACAATGGGGCTCGTGCATTCCGCATCTTTCTCCTCGATGCGGAAAGACTCATCCGTCTTCGCGGTCTAGCCAACCAAGCCCAAAATCCCTTCAAATCTCGTCTTTTGCACCATATGTATACTCATCTCCGTGTTATCGCAGAGAGTATATCACTTTGGAGCGAACCTCTCCCCGAAAGCTCCTCTGAGATCCAAGGTCGTGAGCAATTTCGAACATTCCGTATTACAGAAGAGGGTTTGAACATAGGTCTTGATCCCGCTCAAGAAAAGACCGATGAGCTTGGGTATAATGACATCCATCTTGAAGTCCAAGGGCGCTGGACTCAGACTCTTTATCCGGTTATATATGGGATACCCGAATCTCTTATGACGCTATTGTCACAGACTGTCTCGTTGTCCAATGAAAAGAATCGCCTGGAATCTGTCGCGCGTTGCAACCCTTCTATCTCAGAAGCCCTCTCAAAACACACCAAAACCCTTGAAAACAGAATCTGGGCCTGGCCGTCAACTCTCGATCCCACCGAACCCGTCAAAATGCCCACAGGCGACGAAGATCTCGTCCGCCACCCCCAAGTCCGCTCCATGACCCTCGCAATCCACCAAGCTTTGGTTATTTACTTCTACCGAAGAGTCTACGACATGAACGCCATGATCTTACAAGACCTTGTTCGGAAGACATTGGAGTATCTTGAGCCGTGTTTGAGTGAGTTGATCGATGATCAGGATTTCGCTACGAGCTTGGCGTGGCCTGCTTTTGTGGCCGCCTGTGAAGCTGTGAGTCCGGATTTGCAGGAACGAGCGTTGAAGTGTCTGGGCGTTACGGATGATAAGGGGGTTTATTTTACGAATAGGCCGGCGGGGATAGTTGTGCCGCTGATTTGGGAGAGGAGGAAGCAATCTGGGGATTGGACTACGAGTTGGCAGAGTCTTGTGCAGGAAAGTCTAGCGTAGAACACAATGCCCTTCTTCTGATAATGAAATTTCACCTTTCGCGATAAATGTCATCTTCTTTTTCGTGAAGTCATTTTGTCTATTTTACCATTTTAAATCATTAAACCATAATACGAGTTATTTCATTCTAAGCCAACTTGACACCAGCATCCTTCAGGAGCTGCGCAAGCTCAGCCCTCTCGTCATCCTCCAAAAGAGCAAATGGCTTTCGCAGACCTCCTGTCTTCCAACCCTGCAACTCCATACCAGTCTTGATACCAGCACCATAATGATGCGCCTCCAAGAACTTGCAAACAGGGAAGATCTTAGACCAAAGCTCTCTTCCCTTCTTCAAATCGCCATCAACAGCGATAGCGTTCCAAAGCTGCACTGAAAGTTCAGGAAGGACATTGGTAGTTCCCCAGACAGAGCCCTTGGCACCAGCGCAGAGACCGTAGAAAGTCAATGTGTCCCAGCCGTTGAGAGCGGTGATGTCGTTGTGGTGGTGGAAGAGAAGATCTGTAAGAGCGGGTGCATTTCCAGAAGTATCCTTCAAATACTTGACTCCGACATCTGAAAGACCAGCAATTTCCGCAGGTGACAAGCTAACGCCGCTCGCACTGGGAATGTTGTAATACATAATCGGCAATCCACTCTCCTTGTGAATCTCACCAAACATCTCCCTCAACTGCTTCAGATTGGGCGCATCGTAGAACGGTGGCACAATCATAGTAGCAGCAGCTCCAACTTCAGCGGCGTGCTTAGCGAGTTCTACAACGCCCGAGGTGGTGAGGTCGCCGATGCCAGCGACGACGGGAACACGACCAGCTGCGGATTTGATGCATTGGTCGAGAACATCTTTGCGCTCTTGGAGGGTGAGGGCTGTGAATTCACCGGTGCTGCCGCCGGGGACTAGGCCGTGCACGCCGGCGGAGATTTGACGCTGGATGTGGGCGTCAAGGGCGGGGAGATCGACTGTGCCGTCGGGTTTGAAGGGGGTTATGAGGGCGACTAGGATGCCTGTGAGTTCTTGGGGGCCATTGTGATGTGTTTGATGTAAGACACTTGGATGAGTGAGTGATTGATACGAGATGAATGTTTATGATGAAACTCTTGATTCTGCTTGTCTATTATATGCTTCTTCTTTTTATCAAGTCTGTACCAATTGGTATACCCCGCGTTGTTCTCTATCAGTCTCAAGAAGATGGTCTCGTCAAAATAGGTAAGTCTCCACGACGTGGGCGGAGATGCTTGCCAACCTGCGATTTGTGGGGTATCAGCTGCCACACAACGCCGAATTTGTTAGACCAAAGTCAAAAGGAGACAGAGAAATTAAAGAAGAGCACTTTATTGGTAAGCTTTTTTGCCTTCCTGTTTGAGAGTTGCTAATTGGGTCCAAGCACGCGGGATCGTCGCAATTGAATCTCCGGCTTACGGCCTGTGCGAAGGCAGCCTGCACAGCGACCTCCATGTTCTCAAGCACCATCAAAGGGAGTCAACTATTTAGTGGTATGATAGCAACGCACAGTTTGAAGTGTTTCGAGGTGCAGCAAGGGGGTTGCGTCGGTCACCAAGCTCACTTCGTACTTCAGTGTGATCTCTGTGACGGTCTAGCCGGCAGTTGTTAAGACCAAGTGGAGGGCGCAAGACATCAGTATCGGAACTCCACCTTTCATGATCTCTATATCTGGAATGCACAGAATTTCGGGTTGTTGGAGCCCAGAATCTGATGTGATTGGTCTCCTGGGGTGGTTTCTTCTCATGTATTCATCGAGTTACTGAAATCAGATCAGAAAGGCACAAACCAGTATCTGATGTTTGAGCTTCAGCTTCTTTGCGTATAAGAACCATTTGAGTAGTTTTAGCTGAGTTTATTAACAATTATTGGAGCTGTACGTTGTGTAGTTCTCTCTAGATATCACGAACCTAAGTACTTACCTCGGACCAGATCTCAACATCGAGTTGGAGTCTGTCTCAAGATTTTACTTGTTGTAGTAAGAAAGGAATAGTCAGGAAACGAAACAGTTACAGTCTCGGAAATCTATATGCTATCGTGCACAGAGTAAGACTGTCAGGTGGTAGCAGACTCCGGTTCAATTTCTGAAGTTCCAAGCTCAAGACTAGGAGTTATGAAATCATTTTGCTTTAATAAAAGTATATAAGAACTTGAAAAAGGAAACTAAGCATCCTTTTTCAGACATCCCGGAAGTCTCAGACATAAGTAGAACGCAAACAGTCTCTCTACAGCTTGAAAGTGACAAAACCCTTAATACTATCTCGGGTGATGCTCGTGTCAAATCAGGCTTGTCTTCTTTACTGTGTTCGAGAAGGGCAGAAATGACAACGTAACTATGTGATGCTAAGGACATTTTGTAGTATATCCAGGTTTCTTCTCAATCATAAGCGTAATCTTAAGAATCTCAGTCAGATTGGTCAAACGCGGAGGTGGGGGATCATGCGTTGTCAGATCCATGGAACATTCGGTGCATTAGTCTGTGTCATGTTTAAATATCATGCACTTGGAAGGAAGTGCTTACAGCCACGCCTCGGTATCTATGGGGATTTCGGGGTTGTTAGTCGGATATCCAAGGCCCGATGCTATCCATCAGTTTGACATGGAAGATTATGTAATATATCTATTCGACGACTCTATCATGTAATCTGTAAGCTCACATTAGGCTACAATTGAGTTGTGATATCAGGATAAAATTATCAATTGTGAGTTGCTCGTTCGAGCCTTTAGACAATGAGTAGCCTACGAAGAGATGATCCAGGTCCAGCGTAGCCAGAAGTAGAAATGAATCAAATGGACCATTCATGATTCCAGTACATTGTTCAGATAAGAAATCATAGATATTAATTATCATGTTACTTCACAAGCCCGAAGTCACCGCGGTAGCTTACTCATTCGGATTCTGCATTCAGTACACGAGGATGTCGACTTGGCAACCCCCAACAGATAACGGAAAGGCAAGTGGATAACATTAGAGCTTGGCGAATGCTAAGAAACTGGAGAATTGACACGTGGGGGGGGGGGGGGGCGGAGAAAGGGTCTGATGAACACCCCCAGGATCTATCACTTGGCACTTTCATGGATGGCAGATTCCAGCATTGGCATGATTCCTCAGCTGGCTTGGCAAATGCATATTACTTGCCTTTTTGGATGGCTTGGTCTAGACCTCTAGGGTAACGTTTAAGAAGAAGTACAAGTAAGCCTTTGGGCATTTGGATTAGGAGAGGATTATTTGTGATGGGACTAGTTGGAGAGTATGTGCCACGACAATGGCCGAAGCAAGCCGTAAGAGAGAAAGAGAAAGTTGATAAATATGCAACGATGTCTCTCTGTCAGAGAAGACTCGTTCATTTCATCCAAAGACATCGTAACGATTGCCTTGACTATATCGCAGGGCGGATCGCAACTCATCCAGGCCTCAAATCCATGGTTCTGTCGAGACTTTCCACTAGCCTTCTGCACATACCATTACAAACTTACTCTTTCCAAAAGGCAGCTCGGATTCAACGGACAATGTCAAGCTTATCGAAATCTGTCATCAGCAAATACCTCAGCTCATGCTCAGCTCCACCAGCTTCGCCCCCTTCCGCACTGCACAGATCATGCATGAACATGATATCCATTACGTGAGTGATTCCTCCAAGCTATGACCATTTATCAGCCCCATAACCCAACACTTTTCAAACATTGCATTACAAAGTGCTGTTGATAACAACATGGGATATCGCCAAGAAAGCTTCAGCTTCGCCAAGGTAGGAATCAACCATTATCTCGGTACCGTTGCCGCGAACGGACCAACCTCGTGATAGTCACCAGTTGGAAGTGATAATCGCCAGTTTTGCTAAATCACCAGTCTGTTTCTTGAGCTTCTAGAAAGAGAAAACAGCCCGCTGGTGGTGTTTTGGCCATAAGACCATATTTACATAAAGAATTGCTCAGAGGCAATATAGACATCACGCAACCTTAAGACAGAACCATCGGGAGGTAACCCGGACCCTGCAGTCATCTTCCGAGATTACCATACAGAGCACGGTGGTATTTAATTGATGACAAGATATGCGAGATGCTGCGGCAGGTCATCCGTTGGTTACGGAGTTGCCGTTACCGTTATCGGAAACGGTTCCGCTGCTCAACTTCACAGACTGCTTGAGCATCTGTGCAGCAAATTGGAGACTCCAGCAGAGTTACGCTGACTGCGTTGTTTCATCTACCGTACCGACGATTTCCGTTTATCTAACGTTTCATGAAAATGCACTGACCAGATACAACTTATCAGTAGAAAATGCCTCGCTGATAAAGTCAGTTCATTAACAGAGCGCGGAGGCTTTCCCGATGGGATAGCATCGGGTCAAGCCAAGCAACTCAACCCCTAACTGTAACTTTACAGGGTGATCCTGGGGTTGGCCCGGAATGGTCGGTGATCTGCGACACCCCCAATCGTTCGCAGCCAACCAACACGGCGCAAGCGAAACCATCCCTGATGCATGCGCGAATTGTTCCAGAAGGATACTGTATAAAGGTAAAATTTGGAGACGCACCTCTTTTTTTGGTGTGGTTTTATTTCCGGCTGCCGAGGAGTAATGCCGAGTTGTAAAATTTGCCTTGTCTCGGCTGCACCGACGTCAGCCTTACTTAATGTTTTCCTTCGTAAACATGATAGCTTTGACTGTAGAGAGAGTGATATGAGACCACTGGGAAAGCATGCCATTTTTATGATGAGGTGCATTGGTATTTAATCAAGGGGCCTCGGAGTGGACTCGGTCGTTTCCCGTACTCCGCTGAGTGTACGATATGGTAACGAATTCCACAATAAAATTGAAGCTCTCGTGTCTGGATAAAAGAGAAAATTGGGGTTGTGGATATTTTGGAGACCGGATCATCTCCCGACTGCGGAGCAATGGGGTAATACAAACTGACAGCCCAGCCAGTTATAATGCTTGGTTCCAAATTATGGAGAAGAATGTACCGCGGAGCAAAACCTGACTCGCTATTCCCAGTGGAACTTCCAACGTCATAGCTTGAACTTGGTCAAGATGCCTTGTT